AGAGAACCTTGAATCCATTCCATTGTTCTCTGCACTAAATAACAATTGATGGTATTGAATGAGGACAACTTATTTTGCCTTGGAAATTGATGAGGGTTGTTTGGTGCAAAAGTGTGTGGGATTGGGCCTCCCTGGTGGCACAAGGGGTTAAGCACCGCACTATGAGGCAATCTGCACCCTCTGCAGCATGAGTTAGATCCCCAGCCGGCCAGGGAGCGGCCCACATGGTACAGCAGACCTCTCCTGTCTCGCCTGCTGCTCCTCTCAGCAGTGTATTTCAGTCAGTCTGCCTGTTCTATTCCCTGCTCTGTCTCTGGTGAGTACTCTCACCACCCACACCTCTGGACTATACTCCATCTCTTGTATGTATAAATAAATAAATCTCTAAAAAAAAAAAAAAAAAAGAAGTGTGTGGGGCAATTAAGGGAGAAGGCACTATGAAACTTACATGGAAGGTAAGCTTGACCTTTGTAATTCATGGAACTTCTGATCTGGTTAGAGATAACAGCCTGCATTTATAATCCAATTAGAGAATTCAACTACGTGATAATTATTAAATTATGTAATAACCGAAGTGCAATACATCCACAGTTTTCAATTCAACCTATCCCCAGAAGACTTTCTTGGGGAGCATTTAGTTTTGCGTTAGGGATGCCTTCTTAATGCTCACCTATGTGGTGATTGGCGTTTCATGGATTTCTTGATTTTTGCAATCATAAGCATGTTTTATTATGAGATCTTCTTTTCATGCCTTTCGGTATTTTCTGAAATTATGTGTCTCTTATCTTCTAAGGAGTTTTAAAGTCACATATCTCTTAGGTTTCTTCAGCTTTGGTGTTGAATGGCTATATCCATTAGACATAGGGTCTAGTCTGGGTAATACTAGGTAATAAGCATTAATTTTTATAGTTGCAGCAATTTATAAAATTCAGATGAATTTCAACATGGCGATTCAAGTGATTCAGGAACACTTAAAATTCTAGTTTCTTTTAGGTAAATACTTAATCCTTTAGGATGGACCCTGTTACTTTATCTCCCCAGGACTAAGGAAAGAGATGGAAAAGGGACTGGTGTGAATCTTGTCTTCTGTCTTTGCTGGCCTCTGCTGAGGCTGAGCTGGTCTGCATGGTCTCTGGAATCTGCCTCTATTCCCACTGTGTCCACTGATGAAGCATGCCCCGCATGGCTGGTTTTTGCTCAAATCCTTGACTCTGCATTTCCTTTGCTAACAACGCAAGGCCCAACTGGGCCCCTTCCCCTCATCTGCTTTTATTTGAAACCATTTTTATGAGTAGTAAATACTTGCCAATGATGAAATATCATAACATTTAAAATAATCAATTAAATGCTTATATTATCATGGACTAAAATCCCTAAATATTAGAAAAGAAGTTAAAATAGAGTTTTTAGTTTATGATAGCAAACTTATCTTTCTTTCATAACATTCAGACTGCTATGACAAATGCAGTATAAATGTTGACACTTTATTCCCAACATGGACTGTTGAAACTAATCTCACTTGTTAAGTATTGCCATGTCAGGTTTATACATAGAAAAAATTAATGACTAATTGATATACATATATGTATTATATATGTATATGTATATGCATATGTAAGTACACCACATATATAATTTTTGAAAACTGAAAGTTATTTTTACAAATTAGAAACAGTTGGTATTTCAATCTCTCCAGCCATATTTCATCTCAGAGTAGTGATTATGGTCATGGGTGCTGAAGTCTAACTTCTGAGGCTAAAATCATTCATTAGTTGAGTGATTTTGAGCCATGTGTGAACTTTTTTGTGCAGCAGTAACCCCATGAGATGGGAGTAATAACTTCTCCCATGTCCATGGACTGGTTTTGGGGATAAGTGGACTATACTGGTACAAATTAAGTGTGAGTTTTTATTATTATTACTAGTATATCCAAGGTCCCATGCTTGGGGCTTTGAGATAAAAATAAAAAGACACAATCTCAACCCTTATATAGTTTGCTATCTAACTGGAAAGCAAAACTACAGTCTCACAGAAAGTTACATATTAATACCTGAGAAGAAAACTGACAGTTCAGTTCAGCAGCACAGACCACCCTCTTAAATACAGAAGCCATGGGGGTTCGGTGACCAGAAGTAGATGATGACCTTTATATAAGATGTGATCACACATTGTTTCCCTTCACCTGATACTTATCTCTTTGCCATGATGAAAAAAGGCTCAAGGCAGATTGTATAATAAACACTATTTGCAGTGGCCCAGGCTAGTTAATCCTGCAGAGGCTTAGCCATGGGTGAACATTAAATGACGCACATGCTGATGCTGGATTAAGGCTCTTGACAACTGTGAGTGCTCTGAGAAGTGGGCCAACCTGCTTCTCAGTGGGGTGTAAAAAGAGATGGAAACTGCTTCAGGTGATTTAAAATTTTCTGAGATTTACAGAGAGTTCCAGACTGTGGTTACCCAGCATAAAGGGTAGTTCTGTGAAAAAAAAAAAAAAAAAAAAAAAAAAAAAAGCAAAAGACTGCATGTTCAGTTGCCAAATGAATATTACAGTTAATGGTTCCGCTATCAGATCAAGGATGATCATGAAAGGCCTTGAGAAGCAGAGATTATGAAATGACCTTCATTTTCCCTTTCGAGTCAAATATTAATTCCCCGAACTTAATTTTTAATTTATCACTGTAGATTTTCACCCACAGACTATCCCTGAACACTAGGGATTTTGGGGGCTAAATGATTAATTTAGTAGGTTTGTTTCCATCTATTGATTTGAGTATATAAACTTCATCTAACATTGCTTTCTCTAAGGAAGAAACAGTTATTCTGAATTGCAGGCAATCAATTTATAAATGCACTTTTAAACACTCTGCTTTGATTCATTCTTTCACCCAACAGTTATTTGAGTGCTCCTTGTGTATCAGCCACTGTTGCAGGAGCTTGTGAACAAAACAAAGATCTCTGCCCTTATAGATCTGACCCAGACAGTTACAGAACACAATTAAATTATTGGTATAGTGTGCTGGAAGGTTGCAAGTGCAATGAATCAAGAAAAAGTATAGCAGGTTAAGAGGGACGGGGATATGTGGCACTTTTCTTTTTATTACTTATTATTTAAATTGAGGTCACACTGGTTTATATTATTGTTTGTATTTTGGAAGTACAGGATCCTTCCCTTTTGGTGATGTTACCATAGTGCTCCCACCATCAAAGTAGGTGGCACTTTCAAAAAGGATGGTCACTGTGGTCACACTGAAGCAAAGGGTGAAGGGAGCTAGCCAAGATGACTGATCACATCTGAGGGAAAAACATTATGGCAGAAGAAGAGCCAGTGCAAAGACACGAAGGAAAGAATGCCAGTACACAGTTGGAAGTAGGTGGGAGAGAGAAGATGAGTTCAGAGAAGTAAGTTGGGTAACGGTGGGGAGGAAACTACATCCCAGATCATGGAGTCTTGCAGGCTATCATTGAGCCCTTGAGAAAGCAGTCACATTAAGCCAATGCCTGGCTTAAAAAGACACCTATATTAACTCCTTTTTCCTGTCTCCTATACTTGAACATTCATTCATGTGAATACAAATCACCTGGGCGCTTGTTAAAATTCAAATTCTGATTTACTAGGTCTGGGGTGGGCCCTAAATTTTGCACTGTTTGGCAAGCTTTTATATGATGCCAGACTGTTGGTCCATAACCACACACACTGAATAAAGACAATAAAGAGGTATTGAGCTCCCAGGAGCTTCTGGGCTTACCTCTCCATTAGCTGATCACAAGAGCCTTCTTGTTCCCTTCGAGCTAAAAGGACAAGAGCAAAAGTTTTTTTGTTCATACCTTTACATTGGTCCTAGCTTCCCCACTGGCCTATTTCATGACTCTCATCTGGCTAGTAACATTATGATCCAAGGCAACTCTGGAAACACCAAATTGGGTGTTAGGCTGTTTCTATGCAGGGTCTAAGAAGTTTCTAGAGCCTCCTCACTGCTATATGGAACCTCTGCTTCTGATCCCCAACGTGAGAAACTCTGCTCTTCTCCTTCAATGATAATTAAACCCTGTGATCACATTCGTGTCTTACCTTGGTTACAGAAACTCCGAATAGTGGCCTTCACTCATAGTCTTACCCCTAGTGACAGCCCAGCTCTGAGGCAGCCAGAGAACTAGGGTGATACTTCCAAGCAGAAAAGGTGCTATTCTGATGCCTGTTTAAAGGCAAGGCTGGCTTCCTGAAGAGTTAGCCTAGTACCTCTCAGCTGAGCCGGCCTGGCAGAACTAGCCACTGGACAGGCGGCGATTACCAGTTAGGCTACTGTTGGAATTGTGCGTCCATCACCTGTGTGATCTTAGAACTGTTTCCTGGCATCTCTGAGTCAGTTTCCTCATCTGTCAGATGAGAATTGAACAGCAGCTCCCGTCTACATGGAGATAACATCTAGTAACATCTAGAGCACTTAGTAAAGTGCCGGGTACACGATAAGTCACAAAATACCAGGTGCGAGTATTTTTCTAACTACGTCTGCATCCCTCCACGTACAAATCGCTGCGTCCCTGGCATGATGGCACCCACCTTTCCATTCCCTCAAGTTATGGTACCAGGACAAACCCCTCTGCAAAAACTTTCAAAGACTTGAGAGAGAGAGAGAGAGAGAGAGGACCACAGCAGTTCCATCAAGTGATGTCAAGAGGAAACTGAAGGAACCTCAGGTGCTCAGAGAGCGTGATGGGGGCGGGGCGGGGAGGCCGACGAGAGGGCCGGCCGCGCACTGACGTGTTCTACGCGCCCGCGAGGGCACCGCTGAGGGCAATGGACGGACATTAGGGGAAGCGGATTCCCGCGCGAGAGCGTGAGGGCGTCAGAGCGAAATGGAGGCCGGGGGGTCGCGCGGGAGCGGGGGAGGGGTCGGGGGGGGGTTCTCCTGGTGCGCAGCTGCGGCGGCGGAGCCAATCACTGGGCGCAGCCCGTGCTCGCGCGAGGGTACAGTCGTGCGGGCGTGACGTCGGCGGTTGCCATGGAGAAGCCCACTCGGTCGCCACCGCGAGCGGGCGCCAGGAGCCGCAGGGTCGGAGCGTGGTTTTGAAGCCGCGTCTGCAGCCACCATGAGCGGCCGAAGTCGGGGTCGGAAGTCGTCCCGCGCCAAAAGCCGGGGCAAAGGCCGCGCCAAGGCCCGAGTCCGCCCCGCTCCTGACGACGCCCCGCGCGAGCCGGACCCTCCACAGTGCCAGAGGCTCGGGGAGGAAGCCCAGGCGGTACAGGTGCAGGCTGGCGCGGGTTGGGGTGGCCAGGAAACCTCTGCGCCCGCGCCGCCCCGCCGGCCCCCCGGGGAGGAGGGCGCCTGCCGGCTCCCGCTGGACTGTGGCCTCGCGCTCCGCGCCCGCGCTGTGGGGGACCGCGGGCAGGCCGCGACCAGACCCGGCCTGGGGAAGGTCCCGTCGCTCTCGGAGCGCCTGGCAACAGACACTGTCTTCGTGGGAACTGTGGGGACCGTGGGAAGGCCTAAAAATGTCCCCCGCGTGGGAAATCGGCGTGGCCCTGTGGGGAAGAAGGCCCCAGAAGCTTGTAGCGCGGTGGGGAGGGGCCCTCAGGCGATAGCTGGTGGGAAGCTGAAGAAAGGGACATCCGCGGAGTGTGCCTCCGGCCAAGCGGCAGAGAAAAGAAAGTGGAGAAGGATGCAGGGTCAGCGCCCCTGGCCACAGATGGGAGCATGGATACGCTGGAGACCGTCCAGCTGAAGCTGGAGACCATGAACGCCCAAGCGGACAGGGCCTACCTTCGGCTCTCGCGCAAGTTTGGCCAGTTGCGACTGCACCACCTAGAGCGCAGAAACCTCCTCATCCAGAATATTCCAGGCTTCTGGGGGCAAGCTTTTCAAAACCACCCCCAGCTGGCGTCCTTTCTAAACAACCAAGATAAAGAGGTACTCAGCTACTTAAACAGCTTGGAGGTGGAAGAGCTTGGCCTCGCCAGATTAGGCTACAAAATCAAGTTCTACTTTGGGCGCAACCCCTATTTCCAAAATAAGGTGCTTATAAAGGAGTATGGGTGCGGCCCTTCCGGCCAGGTCGTGTCGCGCTCTACTCCAATCCAGTGGCTCCCAGGGCATGATCTCCAGTCCCTAAGCCAGGGGAACCCAGACAACAGCCGTAGCTTCTTTGGGTGGTTTTCAAACCACAGTTCCATTGAGTCTGACAAGATTGTGGAGATAATTAATGAGGAACTGTGGCCCAATCCTCTGCAATACTACCTTATGAGTGAAGGAGCCCGTGCAGAAAAAGGAAAGGAAAGCAGACAAGATCCAGCAAGGCAGCCAACGGAGACCCCTGAGCCCGGGGTAAATCAGTCCAACTGATGCTGCACAAGTTTCTCTTCTACCTCCTGCTGAGCCCCGTGCCTGGCTGACCACATGTGTTTGGCTGTCTGCCTTCTCTTCATGTTGGCCTCTGTGCACTCTATCCCCTTCGCCTTCAGTTACAAGAATATGGCATTTCTGATCATGTTCTTTTGCCTTCCCATGGCCTTTTGCTTTTTTTACATTAGCGCCACATGTTATGTGCTCTCACTCCCACTGTTCATATGTTAAGCACACATGCTTCAGATGTGTGTTGACTATCAGCGTTGCCTGGACTCTGTTTGTGGCTCTGGCCTTTCCTACTTGTCTTTAACATGAATGCTGGAGAGTCATTCTCCAAGAGGACCAATGCACCGTCAAGCTCTATTCAGGGCCGGTGCCTTGCCTGGACTTTGTGTTCCTGCTGGCCACGCATGCCATCTATTGCAAGCTTTTCTATCGACACTGCAAAATGAGGCCAGTGCACATGCCAAAACTGATTTTTCCATGGCTCTGGAGTCACCAGCTGAGATGGCACCTGTTGGAACTCTGTCTTTGACTAGGGCCAATGCTACCCATGCTGCTGGACATGCAGGAGAATGACACTGGACTGCTTGGCATGAATGAGGTTAATGGTGAGAAGCAGAAACAATGCCATGTGTTTGATACCATCATGTGTCTCTGCCTGCCTCTGGGCCCTTCTGCTGGTTGGTGAATCTTCATTAAAGTCTGTACCAAGCCTCATCTCTATCAGGCCTTTGACTTTTGTCTAGTTGCTGTTGGATCCTCGTCAACGAGAGGCTTCCTTGTCAACAAGAACCTCAAGAACTGCCTGTGGACTAAGGTCCCCCACCAGTGCATGAGACACGCACCTATCTTTCCCAGCCTTCCAGGAACTCTTTGGCTAACAGGCTGATTGGCAGGCTGGTTTGTGTGGACGTGTGCTCATTGTCATCATGCTGTGACTCCAGGCGAGGGTGGGGACTGGACTCACATAGAATGTAGGTACCTTTGTCAACTCCCCCTATCTTTTCCTCCCTCCTGACCAGATTGCTGCGGTGGGGGTACAGGGGAAAGGTATTTCTGGTCTGTGACCTATGTTGACTTGACCTCACAACTCCATTTCTCCATACTTGCCCTTCCTTTTCTGTCTTCTTCCTAATCTTCTCTTCCTTCTTTTTTCCACCTATGCATTTCTTACTTTTTTTTTTTTTTAACCACAGCTCAGAAAGAGAAAACAACTGAGAAACCAAGGTTTTCTCCATACAGCTAGTGAGACATCTGGGGACTGGCTACTCATACTACACACTAGAGGAAGCCAAAAGGCCAACTAGATCTGTAGCAGACCCTGGTCCCGACTCTTGGATTCACTCTATAATTTTGAAGTTGAAAAATCTTTTCATGGCTCTGCCCTGCATCGGTTAGAATTATAAACATCAGGCAGCAGTGCTGTGGACTAGTGTTTACTGCTGGTCCATCTTTTTTTTTTTTTTTTTTTGTGCCACTTAAGACCTAGTTGCTTCCTGTAGTTTAGCATCTGGCCATCTGCATCCTCAGCCCTCAGCTTTTACACTCAGAAATCCTTTGCTCCCTTTGATTCTACCTGCAAATAACCATAACAGTAGCCATAGTTTCTGATATGGAGGACCCAGGGGTTTGGGCATGGGGATGGACAGAATCTATTTGGATTTCTAAGACTCATTTTCAGTATAAAAACTGAATATAACTGAACCGGGTCCTTCCCTGCCCAGGCTTGTCTTGTCTTCCCCCTAGGCCCAAGGATGGGGAAGTAGGACTTTATCTGTTATATATTCTACCCCCTCCTTGTTTCCTTGGGGAAAACCACATTCTAAGTTCCTCAAGGAATGGGGAGGTCTTAAACTTTTAGAGAGGGGGTGCTAGGCAGGAGGAGTTGGAACAAAAACGTATAGCAGGAATGAGTCTGGTGTGGAGTGGGCCTGGAAAAGCAAGTAAGGCTTTGAGAAGCCTCAGGGAGAATGCCTCTTTCTCAGTGATGGAGGGGACATGGAGGGACCTTCTCGGGGCTGGGGGTAGGAGAATTAAAAGGACTGTGGACAAATACAATACCTAGATAAAGGCACACCCAAAGTTTTATCTGATCTCTCTCATCACTGGTGGATTTTATAAGTAACAGAAACAGTCCAAAAACAGATTAATGTTACTTTGGATGTTTTCTCTTTTGTTCTAGGTGTGACCCTGTGTATGTGGAAGATTAATGCTGCTTATTTTGCTTCTTAGTAAAATCTTAACCACATTCCCCATTTTTGCCTAGTAGGAAAATAGAACTGTACAGGCCTGGTTTTTTTTTTTCCCTTTTTTCTGATTTTTTTTTTTTTTGTGTGTGTGCATTTTAAATTTTTGCTCTTCATGATGGACATGTGCATTTCAAACATGTGCAGAAGTGGAGA